AAGTAAGCTCGAAATCTTTTGTGTCGCGCATCTGTGCAAAATATCCTTTTAAAAATTGAGCTTCTCAGCTCTTTCGGCTCCCGAGTTGGAAAAACTCCAACCGAGACTTCCACTTGCTTTCAGTTAGGACCTTGGCTATGTGGAACCTAAAAGAGAACATGAGAGAACATCGTAAGATATGAAAATCCTCGTAGAATTTCAATTTCCTATTTCACGCTTTCCAAGCTTTAAACACTGCCAACAATTTTCCGCCCCAAATTTCACATGTCCATGCGAAAGATTTAGGTGTGCTTAGGAGCTGAATTTGAAATCTTTGGGTCATCCACTGACGGAGGAGATCCTCCTAAAATATCAGCTTCTTAGCTTCCTGGTTCCAAAGTTAGCAACTTTCTTGCCAGAAATTCCACAGATCAATAAAGAAAATTTTTGTAATATAATATTATGAGATGAAATGAGATGATAAGAAGATACAGGCCACTGTGGAAGGCGTACTTAGGCTCCAAGGCTAAGTGCCTGACCCAGAAATACTTTGTGGATCGTAACTGAGCACTGCAATGCTTGGCCTTGGTAATCCCGAAAGGCGAACTCAATGGTAAGTTGTCCGAGACCGCGCTCCTTGCAGAACTAAGTAAATAGCACAACCAATATGAGATGCCCGGACCTTTTCAAGTCCTGGCCTTCCTACTTTTAGATCAAGCGCCACAAAGTTGGTTTTCCAGAAGCAGCTGTCTCCGAGCCTTACTTTGGTATCCTGAGCAACAGTATGCGTGACACTTACTTGTCTGCTGCAGCTGAATCCGCCAAGAAACATAAAGCCGAAAACTGCCTCGAATCCCCGCAAACATTTACACACACCTCTATATCGCCAGATGACTGAGTAATACACACTGACGATAAGCTGAGGAAGAATCATTGACTAGATGCGCTGGCGAAGCCCCGACTGACCGAGTTGTTTGTTCTTCTCTCCTTTTATACCGTGCTCCCCCAATCGGCCCGTCATTCATCTTTCCATATGGCGGAGTGATTTATGACTCCTCGTATACCCAGAAGACTGTTGACAATATCCCCGATGAGGCGCCCACCGGAAATGTTCCACACACCCTAATCTGTTTATAAGTGAAAGGGGTGGGGGGCAGGGGACCTTCCAATTTTCGTGTTCCTTAGGATATTTTGAATACAAGTATTTAAATCATCAGGTGTTGAAAAGTAATACCCCCTAGAATGTAAGATGGTTTGCAATATGTAACACGTAGGCATGCGTGAAAGTTAATATCAATTGGATCCGCACGCGGCCACGGAACACACTGGTAAAACTTTGACATCTAATTCTGCATGGTTGCCGAGTTGAAATACTTGTATAGGCGCAGATATATATATATATATATATATGTCTGCGTCTACTCACGTATTTCGACGCCTATTCGAATTTTTTTGTACATATGTGCTCGCCCCTATTCTGTTTTATACATATATATATATGTTGACAAGCTCTTGACATATGCACCCTTGCACTTGTATAAAGATGCAAAAACGCATAATAAAAATCTGAAGCTAAAAGATCAAGACCCCGGAATAATTCGAGATAAAAAAAATCCAATAGTAGAACTTCAATACGAAACGCTAGTCTGCGTTGGGAAGCAGTCTATTAAGCGGGAACTGGAACTGAGCTTGGTAAAAAGATTATACACCAGTACGAATACAGTCAGCTTCATTGAAGATTTCCGGAATTCGTTTGGCTATGCATTGATGATAAATATAAGGAAAATGCAATAACAAATGTTGCAGTGGATGTGGCGAGGAGACGAAGGGAGGGGCACTGTTCGCTGTGCGGGATTGCTTCGGACGCGAACAACCTCGCCCTCCTTCTCAGCCTAATAATGAATTTTTACAGCAATAACAAAAGTTTGTTGTATCTGAAAGCACTTAACAGCTGCCGCTGTTACTGCAATGCCTCAACTCCCTTGCTTTGTTCGGCCTATTCAGGGAAGCTAGCCCGTCACACTACGAACATGTCTGGAGCGTTACAGGACAACAATGCGCGGCACTAAACAAGCTGAATCTGCCGGACTAAGCTTTACAAAAACAAAAACTTATTTTCTTTTTTTTTTATTCTTGAGGCTAATGAAAAACTGCAGAATCAAGTGTCTTTTTTTCCAGTGGATGCGCAACGATTTGTTTTGTGGCACTCAAACACGCCGCAATCAAGCAGCGGAAATAATGACAAAAGTTTTTCTCAAAACCACTAAATATATTTTAATCTACGGAACTGATTCGTTTCAAGTTTTTTATGCGTTTTTGCTGTGCAGCGCTATAGCGCTGCTACAGCCAGCAAAAACGCATATTGT